AGGATATATAATGCATGTGAATAGTGTGTCAAATGTCATCGAAAAATGTAAGGGGTTCATGTACGCTGATGATATGTGCCTTATTTATGCATCCAAAAATATAATGGAAGCCCAAAAATTTATACAGGACGATTTTGAAAATATTAGCAAATGGGCACACGATAACGGAATTATCTTGAACACAACAAAAACAAAAGTTATGCATATACACTCCCCGTACAATCATATTGCTAAATCAGTAGATAAGGAACATATCACAGTAATAGGACACACATATGAATGTCTACATAGAAATAAACATAACTGCAGTTGTAATAAATTAGACTATGTACACAAATTCAAATACCTAGGCCTAACAATAGATACAAATTTCAACTGGAAATTGCATGTTAACGACATTTGTAATAGACTAAGATCTGTATTAAGTAAGTTGTATCAATTAAAAAATGTACTGAACAAAAAGACTCTCAGATTAGTTTACATTGCACTTGCAGACTCGCTAATAAGTTATGGACTACTTGTGTATGGTCGAACATTCATATCATATATAAAAGATATTAAAGACATACAAATAAGACTGATAAAGTTCCCAGTAAGTAAAAATGTTAAAGATAGTTGCAAGAAAGAGTATGATAAGTTATTTCCTATTTGTAAAATAATACCCATAGATAAAAAAGTAGATTATTTAGTTGGTTTGCAATATTATTATAGTGACGAGTTTAAAATTAATGTAAAGAACAAGTACAACACACGTAGGGTTAGAGAGAATAAACTAATATTACCAGAAATAAAAAACTATTATGGCAAAAGAACATCTGAATACTTAGTTCCTAATGTATTTAATAGAATAGATTTACTGAGAGAAGAAGGAAAAAAGTTTACGAAAGGATCTCTAAAGTTAAAATTAAAAAGATTTATGTTAGAGTATTAATAAGAAATAACATTGTTATGTCTTGTTTGTTTTTTATTATTATTTTCATAAAGATTTGTTTGTTTTTTTATTATTATTTTCATAAAGATTGTTTTATATTAGGTATATAAACTATGTCGAAGTAAGTAATAAGGGATATTATATGTGATGGGATATTTAAATGCTAAAGAAAAAACTATGTAAGAATTACTAAATTCACTGTTTTGTATTAAACTGTACAAAGAGCGCCTCTCGCCATCAAACGTTACAGTTTGGCGAGTTTAGTTTTTAAGGACACAATTTGTAATAAGTTCACTGAATAAATTATTAAAAAAAAAAAAAATTAGTTCCTTAATCTATTATAGTAATCAGAACAGGAAATTAGAACCCACGCAAACTTATGATTTCTTACACATGTTTTTATATTTTTAATATATTTCATGATTATTTATCAGTAATATGTTAATATAAATATGACTGTCTCGTTGGCCGAGTCGTCGCAAGTGCGAATGCTAGGCAAGGGGTCTCGGGTTCGATTCCCGGGTCGGATAAAGTATTACTGTGTTTTTTATCTCAGAAGTAGCAAGGATTTTGGAAATGTGCCCGGTATATGGCAAGAGGTTCACCCCCTATTACATGGGACTCATAACATTAATAGTGAAAAGTGGGTGTTACCTCTGTGTGCACTACCTACCCCTTCGGGGATAAAAGGCGTGAATGATTTGTTATAAATATATTATTAATATGTCATTATACAATCAATGGTCCACATAATCACAGTTTTAGACTGTTAAAAGTAATAAAATATCTCACACGGATCGTTTACAAAAACTTGCCATTGTATCGTGTTATTCTGGCAACGAAACGCTTCGGATATTTTCATGTTCAAAATTCTTTTGAAAAACCTAAAATAAACAACCTGATACACCGACAGTGCAACCAAATATTGTTATGGTCCCTTTGATTTGAAGCTTTTGGAAACTGAAAACCATTTTGGTTGATTTAAAATCCCTTTTTTTTAAGGAGGAAAATCATCGAATGACTACTCCCGCCTGGGTGAGGCGGGAGGGAGTGTCAGACTCTTACTGACTAAAAACCACCCCGTTCCTTCTCCTGCACGTCGAGCCGGAGCCCCGGTTACCCGTTAGGTTCTCCGCGACACTTAAAATCCCTTTACATCTGCAGTGAAACCAAATATTAAAGAAAGAATTCAAAAACCTCTTGCAATTAATTTAATCGGTATTAATTGCCTCAGAGGCTGTTGTGAACAGAGGTCGTCAAAAACACTTAAATAAATAAATAAACTCGCATTTATACAAACAACTTTAAACAACTGAAGATTAATAGTAACGTTGTCCCGTTCCATTTTCGTTGGTGATTTTACGTTGATGAAGGCAAATTGTAATGTATCAGCTCTCACTAGATGAAAGGGTCTGGTGATTTTGCACCTTACTGGTGATAAATTAACTAGGTTTTAGTTTAGAAACTTGAATAGGTGACTTACTATTCATATGGTATATTAGGAGTACCCTTAAACTTATTAATGTGATCATTCAAGGTCCTACGTTACAACAAGCATGTTGTACGATTAGCATCATTCATAACATAACATAACATCACGCCTTTTATCCCCGAATTGATAGGCAGAGGTGCACATTACGGCACTTAATGCCACTGTACAATGTAACACCCACTTTTCACTATTTTTGTTATGAGTCCCATGTAATAGGGGGTGAGCCTATATACCGGGCACAATTCCAGACTCCGTGCTACCACTGAGAATTTTTTTAAAAACACAGTAGTACTTTGCCCGGCCCGGGAATCGAACCCGAGACCCCTTGCCCGGCAGTCGCATTTGCGACTTTTCAGCCAACGAGGCAGTCATCATTCATTTATGATAATTTTTGTTTTAAACTGTCTTCAAAAAATTGAGGTTCTCATTATGACCTTTATTTATGTATATATGTGCACGATTATATCACGATTGGCTGGACCAATTTTAATATAGTTTTCAGAAAAGTGTTTGTTACACTTAGGAGAAGGTTTTAGTATATTATTAAACCAACTTCAAGAATAGAGGGGGTTGAAGTCGGTATTTGTACACGTAGTTGTAAAGAATTATAAATATTCCCTTTGTGGTAACTCAATACAGCCGTAATTACATTATTGTTTTACGTAAGGTATCTAGGTATAAACAAAACCTAGCCTAACCACAAAACAATGTTGCATAATATTTTTTTAGTGGCCGAAATAAAAAATCTACAAAAATCCCAAATCAATGGATCGACCTAAGTTTTGGACAGAAACACATCATCATCATCATCATCATCATCATCAACAGCCTATAAATGCCCACTGGTGAGCAAAGCCTCTTCTCACACGGAGAAGGTTTGAACATTAATCACCACGCTTGCTCAATGCGGGTTGGCGATTACAAACTTATAATTAGAAATTATAAGCCCAGGTTTCCTCACGATGTTTTCCTTCACCGTTTGTCAGTGGTGTCTGAATAATCTTAGAAAGTACATATAACTCGGAAATAGTCACATTGGTACCTGCCGTTGATAGGTTTTGAACCCGCACCCTCATGCATGAGAAGCGGGCGTCTTAAACCTCCGGGCCACCACGACATAAAGAAACACATAGGCACTACTAATGTCAAAAATTCACCTTTTAGCCATACATATCTATCAACATTGGCGACGAATTTTGCGAAAGGGTTTAGTTCATAATAATAACAATCAATGAATCTATTATTAGTTTCCACCAATTAACAGGTAAATTTCTCGTGACAGAGGTCAAAGCATTATTGTTTGTGGTGGTTAGCCATTAGCCATTAACGCGGTCTAGGGAAGTAGGGCAGAGTAAAGGATAATAAATAATCGATTTATAATACCATATTATTCCCATCGTAAAGTTCCAAAGTGCTTCAAACTTGACCTTTGAAAATGTATAGATAATAGAAAAATGATGACTTCATAGTTTTCTTTCAAAAATGGACAAAGCAATGACATCTTTACTTACTTATTCATTTTTATAGTATGACGTATTCAGTTACATTCATATCCTTCAAGGAATTTCCAAAATCAATATATCAAGTCTTACGAAGACCAACAATTATAGAAAAAATCATGGCGTTGGCGTTCCATAGTCTCTGCCTACCCCATGCAAGACGGACATGCCAATTCGGTTATTTGTTTAACTTCTTAATATGAACAGTCATAGGCGTCATGAATGAATTTAATAAGCAGAGAGATAAGCACATAACAATACCCCACAGGCAGCCCCTATCTAAATACTAAACTCTGCTCACTGTTGCTTAGATACAAGGCAATTAGAAAGATTTGCGCATGACGTAGAAGGCATTTAATTACACCAAGATCCGACCAAAGTCTTACTTTATGACGATAGTAAATGTATGAGCAAATATACGTAGTGATAGGCCAAGATTATACCCTTATTTAGATGACTATCACTCAATCGAAACGTGGATCACTGTATGACATTCCACGATACGTTAAATTTTATTCACAAATATTTCCGGCTCTTATCAATGAAACAAAACTACATTAATCAAATCGGAACACACTGATCTACTCTATTATAATGTCTGTTTAAATGGAACGATCAAAATATTTGCCGATGAAAAACAAATAAGAGGCACAGATAAATCCGCTCGTGCTGCAAACAGATAACACATTACGCTAGAATTTGTACTGACAACGTGTTGATTAACCGGCAAAATGTTTAATTTAATTTCGAAAAATATCCTTCTGGATATTATTCGGTCAAAAAATGTTTGCACGAACGATTTCCGTAAATAGACAATTTTTTTAGTAAAATTGCGATATATTGATAGGGTTGTCGAAAGTGAATATAAAAATTATACGGAAGTGGCACGTGTGTGAGAAGTAGAGAGCGCAGTACAGGGTGCGCAGTAACACTGACTAGCCCTATAAAGGGAAGGGAATACGCGTCCCATTCACAAGTAAGCCGACGTCGACGTCACTGCAAAGTTGGGAGTAGCCGGGCACAACTTTCAGTTGCGCTCCCGAATTCTTTTCGTGAAGTGTTTTGTGGTACTTTTACAATGAAAGCTTTCCTCTACATGGTCGCTGTGGTACTAGCGTGCGATGTCGCCAATTCTTTGTTTTTACCGGTAAGTACTTAGCATGTCATTAAAGATACAAAACTTTTTATCAAGCGTACATTGTCGATTTGTTTAAACAAAATTGCCTATAATTTAAATTCTACAACTTATCTTCTAACTTTGGTTGATAAGAGTGTAAGAATTTATTTTTACTGACTTTAAAAGTATAAAACTAAATTGTATTTAATCAATACGTAATAATTTATTGTCAAAGTATTTCCTTCATAACGCGTAGTAATTAAACTATCTATTTACTTATTATAATTACGGCTGTTATCAGTTATCTTTAAATCTAATACTATATTTGTTTTACTTGTCTGGCGCTACGTCACGTTTGTGTAGTAAAGTAAGTAGTTTACGACTAATAGAATTTAAAATGTTTTAAGAATAATTCTAGATTTACTTCTATACTTTTTACTATGTTTAAAAAATTAGCCTTTTCAAAACTGCTTTTTAAAATAATTTTATTTGCCACGGTTTTAAAACTTACCGTGATATTCCTATATGGTTCCAAATATATTCAAGTGAGTAACCCACGATTTTTAGATAATTTAGTATGTCTCACGATAGTTATTATAAAAATACAGTTCCAAAAATATCTATTTATTTAAGTTTTATAAATTGCATAAAGAGGACTTATGCTAACAGCATTCTGTGTCAGTCATCCCTTGGTTAGTGCAGAAATATTCGTAGTAGGTAGTAAGCTGCAAAAAGGCTATGAGACAAAATGTTTTGCATAATTTATAGGTAGGTACACTATTATGGACGGGCAACTTTTAGTTTATTTCTTATAATTTGGCAATAAAATTCTCAATTTTATTTTTTGGTTAATTATTGTTGTTCAGTCTTAAGCATAAAAAATCTTAAGAAACTTAGATAAACTTAGACAAAACTAAAGATAAAGGCGGCTTCAGTAAAACTCATGCATGTATAGTAGATTTTCCAGTATCTGTCTTATTTCTGCTTGACAGTACTATTTACAAATTATCAATATATGTATAAGCTTCATTCATCCGAAATTAACCTATTGATGGCCTCCTTGGTCATATGAGTAAATATCTAGGAATTATTAGCTACAAGAATTACTAATGGTTAATGTCTCGTAGAAGTACGAGTAACTAATAATAGTCTTATAAGAAAATGTATTCCGACTTTTACATAATATAATTTTATTATTATTTTTCCGTACTTTGCCGAAATATAAGCTACATTTCTGCCTAATAGGATAATAACATTTTCGCTTTCTTATATATGTTTTCAAAGAATGTATATAATGCGATGTAAATGATGTTATTTGATTATTATGAGTGCCAAATTCAAGAGTCTTTGTATTATGAATAAATAATATTAATTGTCATAATATATATTTATCCAATATACGTTCCACATACGGGCAGAAATCTGCACTTAATTACTTCTTTATAATGGTAAAAAACCTTCCATACAATATTTATGAGAAGATAAAATTCTTTTGGTGATTTTCTCCTATATAACACGGAACTAAATAAATCAAATCAAAAGAATGTTGATAGTCCTTTTCGATTTCAAAATGATTGATGTATTACTACGTATTACTTATTGAAACTGATATCTCGTCGAATATGAATCCATATTATTATTTAAGTATTTCAAGAAAAAGATAAATAATATTATTAAGTATCTCTTTCTTTCTCGTTGTTCTCCATAGAAACCTATCTAATCTAATCTGGGAATGAGCAAATAGGCCTTTCTAATCTAATTGAAATAAATAATTTTGACTTTGACTTTGATGTAACCGATTTTTTTTTTGCCGAGGCAAACGAGCAGACTTATCACCTGATGGTAAGCGATCAGCGCCTTCCATGGGCACCCGCAACACCATAGTCACAGGTGTGTTGCCAGCCATTTAAAAAGATTTTTTCGATTCGATAATATAAGTAATTCATAATCAATATTTGATAACAGGTAAATAAGTAATATTGCGAAGAAAAGTACGGTTTCCACATTAAATCATCCCATTAAGTTTTCAACACGGACTAGAACCTCAATCGAACGGTCGGGACGACAAATTGTCTTATTTTATTCAGGAGCATCAACTGAAATGAATATCTCAAAATAGAATTACCTACCTAACTTAGAAGAATATAAATGAAACCTAAGTTAGATCTAGAAATAACTTTAAATGATCACTTACGCAAGTCTTTCGGTTGTGGGTTGAATAGAAAAAATGTATTTTCGTTTCCAGTCCTATACAAAAGTGTTGGTCGCATGAGAAGTCAATATTTTTATATCTCGTATTAAATTGAAAGAAAATGTCAATATAAATTTAATAAAAATACCCAAATGAATCCATAGCTACACGGCCAAGAGCTGTTACCGTCGTAAACTACCAAGCAAGAGTTTTCTTTTTCAAAAATTAATTTAGTTTTAAAACTTACTCTTACTGCTGTATATAAAAAATGTAATACTCGAGTAAAGCTTTTGTTTGGAAAGCAACCGCTAAGGACTGTGGTCAGTAACAATTTGATGACTAATAAATTGTTACCATGCACCCACGCATGGATCCAGAAATTATGTAAAACTGAAAAAATAAGAACATACACATCAATATTAAATCATCAGCCTATAGATGTCCATTACTCAATAAAGCCTCTTCTCACACGGAGAAGGTTTGAGCATTAATTACCATGCTTGCTCAATACGGGTTGGCGATTTCAAACTTACAATTAGAAATTATAAGCCCTGGAAACCTGTTTCCTCACGATGTTTTCCTTCACCGTTTGTCAGTGGTGTCTAAATAATCTTAGAAAGTACATATAACTCGGAAAAAGCCACATTGGTACTAGGCCTACTATTCCGTAGGTAGGTTTCAAAGCAGCACCGTCATGCATGAGAAGCAGACGTCTTAACCTTCGAGCCACCACAAACTACACGTCTGCCAAAATATCAATTATAACTATCAATAAAAAACTAAACACAAAACTTCAATACTTTACACGTATTAGATAATAATATTAAAAGCTATTACGTTCTCCAATAAACGATAACAGCACCAGATAAAGCCCCTTAAAACTAGGTTAAAAGTACTTTACTCCTAACAAGAGGTGGTGGGTGACAATGCTCTCAAAATCTTCAGTTACCAACTTTTAAGTGAAAGAATTCGACTCGAGTAAAAATTCCATTAACTTTGTTCCTTAAGTGACGAAATTTCGGCAAACAGTATGGATGAGACAATGGTTCTTTAAAATGGATTGGTTTCTTTGTTTGATGATAATAAATAAGTTAACTTTGAGATGCTTATCTACTCACTTTTATTCGAGAATTCACTTGGGACCAATATAAAAATAATACATTACTGCTTCCAACATTCAGACCAGAAAATGCTTGCAAATTAAAAATATCATAAACCAGCTTTTATCCGCGGCTGTGTACCTACGCATATACCTATTTTATCCAATGGGATAATTAAATCATGATAAATGTACATATTTTATCATCTAATTCAGCCCATACCCTGCCTGTATACCAAAATTCATCAAAATCCGTTCAGTAGTTTATAATACTATTGTAATTATTGCATAGGTTTTTATCACTATCATCGCACTACATAGTATAAAACAAAGTCGTTTCCGCCGTTTGTCTGTCCCTATGTATGCTTAGATTTTTAAAACTACGCAACGGATTTTGATGCGGATTTTTTAATAGATAGAGTGATTATAAAGAAAGGTATATATGTATAATACATGCATTTTGCACCCGTACGAAGCAGGGGCGAGTCGTTAGATTTCTATATTGACAAATATCATCAAAGGCACACAGTTTTCCATGATATTTATATAATAACTATTACAATTTTGTAAACAGAGAATAATACTAAATGCGAATATTTTACTAGGAATATACATTAGGTAACCAACGATTTTACACTACGGTTATATTTCACTTTTATGTCGTTCTATTGAAGAAAACTCTGACAATAATCATAGTCATAAAATGACAATACGTTGTACTTATCATATTTTTAATGAAAAGTTGTTATGAGGTTCGTTTGATAATATAATTTTATAGCCCACTTGACGTGGACAGTGTGGGCGTATCTAACTTTTTTTTTAAGTAAAGAAGGTTATAACTTTTTTATGATTCGTTAACTTTCAGAAAGCCTCAACGTCATAGAGATTTTCAATTTCATTAACATTTTATCTTTAAGACTAAAGTTTGAGATAGATACATGCCCATGGACGGCGCTATCACTTACCATCAGGTGATCCGCCTGCGCGTTTGCCACTTAGATTACTCCATAAAAAAGATACTGTATCATATAGACAACTTCTTACATAACATAACATAACATCACGCCGTTTATCCTCGAAGGGGTAGGCCAAGGTGTACATTATGCCATTGTACAATGTAACACTCACTTTTCACTATTTATGATATGAGTCCTATGTATTTCCTATTATAATACATGAAACAACTCCTTATTATAATAATATAACAGTATTACTTATCTGGTCAAAGTAAGTTACCTGCAATCTTCTTAGAAGAAAACAGGCTTGATTGAATATTGGATAACAAAACCATATTGAGAGGTCAATTCTACGAAGAAAAATCGTAAGCAGTAAATAAAATAGGACTACGTATGGGCTCTTGAAACGTACGGTTGTTAGCGATCCGGAAAACTCAAGTACCTATGTGGATTGTTAACCAACCGCATTCAGTTCTTGAACAACGCACTGCCCACTCTCTTTATTTTATACCATCAATTATCGTTGACATTCAATGATTTTAATGGCTTCTTTGTACATAAGGACGTAATAAGTACGAATGCCAGGAAAAATATTTCATTTCTAGGTATTACCCAATATTTTCCTTACTAGAAACTTCATCATCTTTTTGTGAATTTTATTATTATGAATTATATACCTACTACCTGTATTTAAACGGGACCTTCATTTAATTACATAACATAACATCACGCCCTTTATCCCTGGAGGGGTAGGCAGAGGTGTACATTATGCCACTGTACAATG